TTATCTACACGCCTTACTACTTTTGTAAATCAATCGTTGGATGTTACCAATGAAATAGTGAAATTGAAATCAGGTGATTGTCTAATAGGGGGTTGATTTTTTATTTGTGTTAAATACAATACAACATTAGTGAAGCTCAATATTTTCTATGTTGCTTCAAGCCAAATTGTACATAAGAACATCAGCAACCATTCTGGATTTGATCTTTACCAATTCAATGGGATAATTCCTAGTTTAAAATTTAAAATTAATTTATAATTGATACAATTCTAACAAAAAGCACTTACCTGATTTTCTCCTTCTAACATCTAAATATTAAAGCTTTTTCTGATGAATAAAATTCTTTATTTTAGAAATTTCTTGACTGTCTACATGTATAATGATAATGTGTGATGCTAAGTTTACTCTGCAATCAAGTGATTCAATAAAGAACAAAAGTTGTCAAAATGTCAGTTATTTATTTTATTATACCACGTAATACTAAAAATTGTAATTTAATAAATGAATATATTAAAATTTTCTCTCTTTTCTACATGTCTTTTACTGTATATTGGCACTCTGATTAATATAATTAATAAGTCCAACAGCTAATGCTGTGATTTTAACATAAGATTGATAATGATAAATATGAAACTGCTTCTATATAATAGTGAACATTTTACACACTAACACCACCTTTAAGTGGGCCAAAGTATACATATACAGTATTAACATAGGTAAATAAATTTATAGCAATAATTAATGAATGACTGATTAATGGCGAAGATAAAATGTTTAGATAACCCTTGAAGAATAAAAAGTTTGCAGCACTGCTAGAATTACAATCATCAACTCAATGTTATCAATTTGTTATCATCAATATGCCTATTTGATAGTTATGATGGTTTGTGTATTTCACCATAATTAGGCATTTCATAAACTGTCAGGATAAACTCTATTATTAGCAAAGGTTTTATATTAACGATTTAATCAAAACTTACAGATGTAACTGTATCCAGTGAGCTTAAATATTTATGCTGAAAAAAATCAATCATGAATAAATTTGATTCATTGTCTACATATTGTTAAGAGCAGCAAATCAAAGTTTCTTAATTATTACACTTTTGATTAAGGATTATCGTAATTATTACCATATTATAAAACAATATTTCCACACTGTTTGTATAAGAAAACGTTTATTAGTAAAAGTATTCTAGCGTAAGTGCACAGTATTATCAATTTTTATTTTGTTTATTTTATTGCTGACGTTGAGAAGGACAAAATCTATCTTATTCGACATAATAAAAGAGTTACGCTAACTCTAAACTTATCACTATATAAAATAATAAAATTTACGCCTGTCTAACAAGCACCTCAATATCCTCAATGAGAGGGCGAGGGGTGAAACTAAACTTGTCGTTATCAAGGTTTTCGGCCAATGTTTTTTCCAAAATAACGGCTTTATACACATCTAATGGTGAAGGAATTGGTTCAATCTTATTCTGGTATCTGTATTTCACTTCTTTATCGATGACAACTTTCCATTTAGAGCCTTAATGCAAGTTAAACATAATTAACAATCATCCAGACACATATTTCTTTTCAAAAAGAAAACAACAAAACTCACCAGTAGCTTGTTCAAACTTTTGTAGTATCTCGTTTAGTGACAAAACCGAACCAGTAACCTTGATAGTAGTGTTACGACTTTCATTCAACTTGAGAGATTCGGCAGTAAATTTACCGACATCCGACAGAGAAATAACGGCCAATTTGGCGCTGCCGTCTGCGTTGAATGTAGCAGTCTTGTTCTTGACATCAAACCCAAACCAGCCAAGATATTCTGCAAACAATCCGTTCAAAATAATGGTGTATTCAAGTCCACTATTTTTAACCTTTTCACGGAACGAGGCTTTGGTATCGCTCACCGGATGATCTCCAACTCTTTTTTGGACAAGATAAATTGTTTTTAATACAATTTGTTTACAAAAGCATAGTCGAGAAGAAAAAGCAGTTAAAATGACAAAACTTACGCATAGTCTATACCAAATTCCGATGGAATAAACCTTTTTACACCGGCAGCTTTGGCAGCATTCAATAAAGGAGTTTGAAGAGCATCAAAGTCATAAACGGCAGCGGTCCGTCCGGGAGCTACAGCACTGATTAGAGCATCGGTTCCGTTAAGAGCTTTGACAAGATCGTCATGTCGATTATAATCAACGTATACAATTTCTGCACCCTTGGAAGCCAATAATTCGGCTTTCTCATTTGAGGTTTCTGGCAGTCTTCGAAGAACCTTCACTCTAAAAGATCCATCGTTCAATAAGGCTTGGGCAATATGAAAACCCAGAACGCCAGTGGCTCCTGCAACAGTAATGCTGGTAAGTGATGAGTTGCTCATGATCAATCAAGAATATATTGCTGTGTGAATGTGTTGTTTTTTTCTACCGACATACGTTTATTTTATAGTTTTTTTCTTCATTAGAAAACTTTCTTACAAATCCTTTTCGATTCATTTGTTCATTTGGGCTTTATTCGCCGAAGTTCCGGATTTAGTGTGGATGAAAGCTTTAACTCGAAAATGCTTAAGGTTAAGTTATTGATTGCTTAATCAGTGTTGGGTTGCTCGGTGCTATTTCTTAATTTGGAGCACGCTCTAGACAAATATGGACACGATCCGAGATGTGATCTGCACGTAACACAATTGCAATGACATACAATTTGCTTAGTAATAAGTTATCGCTTCGGTTTTAATTAAAGCTGTTATTAATATTAAAGAAACTATTTATCTAATCTTGTGATTAATCTGTTTACTTTATTTAGTTATGTCGAGCTAAAAATCAGGTAACAATTACCAACACACATTCTGATTAATCCTTGTTTTTAGTATTAAAAAATCATACGCTATGATATCATACTCAATAATCGACCAAGGATGTCTGACAGTGGTACTTATCGGCGGCTATATGGCCGAATGCAAAACTAGTTTGTCTTATAAATCACCATGTTTAGTAATCCAGAGATATTCATATTTAAATTCGTTTTTCAGATTCTTAATAATGCAATTTTTGAAAATAGATGAGCAGTGATTTTCATTATCGTTTTGTCTCTTGAAACGAACAATTAAATAGAGCCATTGTTCATTTGTAACGTTTGGATTTTTACTCATGTTGACGTAGTTTTTTTTGTGGGAAATTTAATCGAAATGACTATTTGTTTTCTTTCATTTCGTCATCTACTTTAGGCATCTATGCAAATTATAAGAAATTATATGTGACGAGTAGTATTCTTTTGTAACAGTAACGTTTAAGTTTATCAGATTAACGAATATATATAGCACCAACGTAATGAGTACTTGGATTGGGGATACGTCATTGTTGAATTCGCATCTGTTGTTAAAATATTAATGAAACGAACCTCTATTGCTACGTAAATTCGGAGTGTACTTTCAAAGATAAGCCTTTATTACTATATATAATTGTAATTATATGATGTTCTATAATAATAAATCGACAAAGGCTTGTAAAATATTGTTCATTGAAAAAAGTTAATATTGATTTTTGGAGTGTGCTTATTTTGGGGTATACGATAGATTTAAAAACATAACATGGCTTTGCTACGTGTCGTCCCTAACGAAGACGTCAGCTGATGGAAGGCAGCTACGTACGGTACCATATATTCCCTGTCGGGGACTGTACAACTATATGATAAGGGGTTAACTAAATATAATACCCTTGGTGTTATACCGCTAATCAGCTGCTTTTGTCTGTAATGTTTGAATTCTTAAAGGTGGTAGTTCTACTGTTAGCAACTCACGAAATAAAAAAAAGGTTACACTAAAATAATCGTTTATTAAAGTAGAACAGTATACGTATACAGTAGTGGCTGGACAAAATTATGGTGAATTTGTTAGCAAAGCCGCTCTTTTTCAGAACTTTCCATTGTCTATATATTGTACATACGAACTTACCCTATTATTACTCAGAAGGTCTGTGCAATACAATAACGTCACCGCATAATATGTACGATCATCAATCTGTCGAAAATTTTTCAGCGGCTGCAATGCTTTTGATAATCCCATAAAAAAACGCCGGTTGGCTAACTGCAAATTACTCGCATTCTATAGAGCAGGCATTTCTTTGATCAACCAATCAGATTAAAAGTGCTAATTTTAATTTGTATATCGCTTTGAAATTAGAGTACACTATTGTTATAAAGTTATGATTTGATGTATAGGTAAAACTTTGGTTGTTAGAGTTGAATATCAGCTGACATTTAATAATGGAACTAGATTATCAATTGTTCCAAAAAAAGATTGTTCCCGTTTGTGATTTTCCTGATTGTCATACTTTGTAAATCCAAATATGAGCCCGTTGCGTTTACTAAGCCGTACAGAATATTTTCTGACCGATTAACGTCATTATTGTGGTTATGTGCGTGCCATGCCAGAAGCGAGTATATTCTAGCAAATTCACTCACATGTTGTGCAAGTTTTATCCGCTTCCAATACTCCACGTTTGCTAGTGTCAACTTGACATTATGTCGGTATTTTGCGAGCAATAAATTCAGTAAACTCACTTCTAAGGAAGATTAAACCAAGGTGTCTGGATTATTAACAACCGCAGACATAGTTCAAGTTAAAAATTTTTTCAAGTGCAAATATTGAAGAGACTGCTTATTGTGTTACCAAAATTCTTTAAATTTGCTTACTTGACGGTTGGCTTAATTTTACGAGCAAAAAACTGGCAAAATTTAACTTTCGATATGCCATCAATTATGTGAACAACATTTAATCTATTAAAATAGACATTTTTGTTGCTATCAACAACCTATTAGCTTTCTTATAAGTGACATAAACAAGTTAATTCGTTGCGCGCGTTTACTTTTATCGCTGCTGCCATATACAGCATGTACAAAAAAAAAGTAACAGCACGTCGAACGCATATACGTTACGCATTATACATACGGTTGGTTTAAATTGTTTAAAAAAGTTTAACTTCCTTTTTAGTTTTGTTGTCAGATTTGATCACAAATTATTCAATCAAGTTTGAATAGACAGCACAAACCATTAGTGGCTTGCCAATAGTATAGTCTTAGATCCCATGGAAAGTTTATGACATTTGCCAAACTATACATACAGTGCAGTGCCTACTCAAAATCTCTGACCACCCCATAAATTCTTCGTCGATCGCGCACATAACACTATAGTCAACCATCCAAACGCAATGAAATTTAGGCCATGTTCCTGCAAAATTTCGTTGCATATTAATATGTAATATTTTGAGTTTGCTTATGCCTACATTTATCTAACCGAAAATCGATAAATGTTTCGCAACCCAAACGTTTAAAAGGAGCACATAAAAAAGTTATGTTACGACACCATACAAATTAATATTCATTGCGTCTATTTGACACAATAAACGAACGTAAACATCTGTCCCCTGAAAGTGACTGTGCGAGGTAATACAATAATTGTTGTGATTTCTCTCTCCGTGAAAAAGTTTTTTATTCAAAACCATGTCGTTAGTTAAGGACATTCAACATCCAGTAATTGAGACAACTTGATCGCAACTAGTAAAAAATCTCTTGAATGGATTTCTTGTTCGGAATTCACCGACATAGAGTCAAGTCAAACTGACAACGTCTACTACGCTATTCATAAGCGAACATGTCATGGTAGAGTTAGTGAAGACAAGCTAATGTTGCAATTAATCGAAAGTAGCGAAGAATGTACACCAACTTCCATGAGTACATTTGCCAGAATATACTCACTCCCAACACACAAATACGATAATAATGTCAGTCAATGTAGACGATATTCCAGATTGCTTGAGGAACGCAATAGCTTGATAAAAGGATTTACCGAGTATGACGATAAATATTATATGGTTGCTGATAGAAAGTTTTACCATTGCTATTCTCTCTATGGATTCTGCTCCGCATGTGAAATACTCCGGTGTAGTCCCGTGTGGTGCATTTGCGGGCATAAACAATTATCCGATGGATGGACTAGCGACAATAAGCAACTCGATGAGTTTATTAAGAAATCTCAATCTCACCAAATGATGTCTATTTGGAATGGATTCCATCTGATTGTTTTTATGATATGGGAGAGAACAAGGCATATTTGCATGGTCTACCTACATCAACTGATGTACCTGTTAAATTGATTCCACTTGAGATAACAGACGAGACACATGGTTTATATTATGCCGAGGTAAACCATTTACTTATGCGTCATGTTTATCATGTTTATTGAATAGTTTAAATAATTATTGACTTATTATCATGTATCGTTTCTACTAGTAGAGGGTTGCCAGCCTCGTTTGAAGTTTAATTCCAAGTCATTGGCTCTCCCTGGTAAT